GCTTTTATTTTCCTATCATATAAATTACTCTAATGAAAGACACAATGTCTCTTACATTCTTCTCTCTTATGCTTATTAACACCACATTTCTATTTTCTAGCCCAAGATACGTCCCCTCTCTTAGCAAATACATTCAAAAGCCTATCCTGGACCTGGATACAAAGCATGAAAATGGTTCATTACTAGAGCACATTACTAGGTTCATTATTAGAGCAGTGCTCCTTCTGAGGTGAGGGGAAAGGACTGAAGATCTGGGGACAGAAGTTACACCGCAAAGACAAACGTCTCTCAGTGCTCCCCAGTGAGGTCCTGCTGCCTTAAAAACCTGAACCAGGAGTATGGTGTAGTTCATGGTGCCTCAGCGAGGGAGTGGAGCTTCATGAGGACCTACTGAGAAACTGCAGGGACATTTGGACAGTTGCTTTTGCTAATCCATATGTCAAGCTGGGTTTGGTAAGAGAAGAACAAAATGTGGAGTGTAGTTCCCCAGCTTTCCTTTAAGCATCTGTAGTCCCTTCCCGGAGTTCTTGTGAATAGGAAAGTTGTACTCGTAAGGGTGCCTGTAGAGAGTGGTTCAATTTTCCTGGGCTTTGGGATTGGAATGTGAATCAATTTAAGTGTCGAGAGGGATTTAGTTATAATGAACATGGCCTGCTGTCCTGCCTGCAGCTGCCAGCGGTTGTTTAATGTACAGAATAACACAATTATTATGAACCATAAAGCCTACTCAGTGGAGCTGTAACAATGGCAGCCATTTACAAAGCCAGCTCTTACTTCTCTGTGACTTTTTCTGCAGTAATTTCATCTCTTATAACCTGTTCAAAGAAAGATTCCGTTAAAAACAACAGGAGAAGATGAGCATTAATCCTCTCCACAAATGTGGGCACATTCACATGTCCTCCGCATAACAGTTCAGCAAGACCTAATTCTATTGGGGGCTGAGGAGGCTGTGTTACGCTGCTACTGAAACCAGTAGGAGAAATGATCTGACAGAGACTCAGGCTTGGTAGATGGATGTGGTAGATACAACATTTCTAAAGGGCCCACTTTCAATTCATCACTAATAAATGATCATCGAATGATCAGGCAGTACTATTCTGAGCAATATCCTTTTGGTTCTCCAGACAACACAAAGAGACTGAATCTCTTCTTAAATACAAAACTAATCCTAGACCATAGAGTCATTACAAAAAATTCCATTTAAATCCCAGTCTCTTGGAAAGGAAAACAAGGGAGTCTCCTCTTATCCCTGACTCACTGTTCCTCCCCTACACCCATGGTTCTTCAACACCACCAAATTTCCAAGCCCTAACATAGCTGTGGCACCCAGTGCCGCATCTGTCCATGGCCCTTGGGAGACAGAAGACACTTGTGACAGGCTCACTGGGGATCCTCAGAGTTGGTGCTCATTCTTGCCTTTCTGGAGACAGTTCCTTCTCTTCTGCATGCCACCTCTAAGTCAGTTCAGTTATTTCTACGGTAGAGAAAAAAAACCTTTCAGATACCTGCCACCAAAGTTAACTACAACAAACAGGAATCTCTCTCACATCTAGGTTGGATGTAGAGTTGGGCTCACAATGACCTTTGCAACTAAACAGGATGGTTCTTGACTACAAGGACAAACTGGACAGAAACTTGGTGGAAACTTCACTGCTCATAGTTAGTTTTGACACAAAACTGCAAGATTTTCAGTAGTTCCTTATTTTGCCTTGCCTATGCTGAAAAATTAATATCTAGTCTTACGTAGTCCTGCCCGACCTCAGAGGTATCCCTCAGACCAGCAGTAGTAGTTGGTCCCTGCCCAGCAGTGCCACCACTAGCGGTCTGATCTGCAGCTCTCCTGCCAGCTGCGGCTGCTCCCAAGCTCTCCCCAGGAACTCTCTGTGCTCACTTACACCCCAGCACCCATCAGCCCACTGCGGTGGCTGACAGTGCAGCTCCACAGCCGTCTCAACCTCAACAAGTCTGTGTCAGGGCTCTGCACTCCAGTCCTCCCCTGGTACCCTGGCAGCACCTTCCTGCTCTCCACCGGCACACATGTACTGAAATGGGCCAAGGAGCTCATCAGGGAGCAACAAGGCACCTCCTGCTGCCTAAAGAACAGGCACCGGGAGGGACACCATGGCTAACGGGGCATGGGAATGCCCATCCCACCGCCCTGGTGTAGGGCAAGCAGGGCAGACCCAGGAACTGCAGCCAGATCCAACCAAGACCCCAGATCACCAGCCAAATTCATGGACACAAGGCAAGCCTGAGGTCAAGCTGGGAAGTCAACCTATTGGTCAGTGTTGGATCAGGCCTGGTGAGCATACCCAGCGTCAGATACAGCCCAGTGATGGCCAGTGAGTTCCATGGTGATGAGGCAGGTCTGAGGTCAAGCTGGGAAGGCAGTCCGTGGGTCAAGGACTGGATCAACAGGCTCCATGGGCAAACATAGGCAAGGCTGTGGCTGAGCTGAAGACGGGCGCTCCTACAGCAGCTCAGGGAGGGACTGCAGGGCCCATCTCAAGGGGTTTATACTTTTGCATAACTACTTGCTAGTTTTACTGTACAAGTTTTGTTGGAAATATGGCTATGGAGGCATGGCTGGAAGTCTCGAGTCCAACAGCCCAGTTGAAGCAAGATTGCCACAACATGAGATCAGGTGAGCCATGGTGTTGTCTAGGTAAGCCTTGGAAATCTCGAAGGATGGAGATCACACAGCCTGTCTGGGTCACCTATTGCAGCCTGCGCGACCCTCCCAATGAGGATGTTTCCCTAAGATCCAGTGAAAACCTTCCAGGACACCATTTGTGGCCACTGCCCATTGGTATATCATCTGATCACAGAATCACAGAATGGTAGGGGTTGGAAGGGACCTCTGTGGGTCATCCAGTCCAACCCTCCTGCCGAAGCAGGGTTACCT